CTTTACCAAATATTACCTAAAACTGTCAACATTTAGGGCTAGTTTGTCCCAAGTATTTCTTTGTTTTAATTAATTTACAATCATTTAGCGGCATTTTGGGAAGGTAGTAAAAAGCCAAAAAAAGTCAAAAAATTCCCAAAAAAATCAAAAAGCCAACTTTTTACCAATTTATCAAAACAGTACTTAATCATAAGAGAATTTTGAGATATTAAAATTTTAACATATCAAACTTACAAATACTAGTCTATTTACCATGTCCGACTTGACAGGAACAACAAAACTTAATGGATAGGGCATCTTTGGTAATCATTTCGTTTTTAATTTTCAGTTTATATTTACAAAAATTTTAAAAATTATATTAAAAATTAGTTTGATAATTTTTTTGGTTTATAAATAGTTGTCTTAGTTAATAAATTTGAGAAAAAAATGTAAATTAAAAAATGAGTTTACGTTGGTTTTTAAACAGAAATTTAAAAATTTGACTAACAAATTTTTTTTCAATTATTTTTTTTTTCAACTAATTTTTTTTTCAATTAATTTTTTTTTCCAATTATAATGTGTATGATCCCATTGTCATAAATAATAAAAAATAAATATAAATATTTTAAGCCTGAATAAACATATTTTTTAGTTTATGTTTTTAAAAATTTTCAAACATTTTGTTCAAACCAAACGAGTTTATAGTTTATGTTTTTCTAAAAATAAACAAAAACCAGTTTATAAAATTTTTGTAAACATAAACCAAAAATGAAAACGTTACCAAACGCAGACCTGTTTGGTAAGTCTGTTTGGTAATCATTTCGTTTTCAGTTTTCAATTTATATTTATAAAAATTTTAAAAATTGTCATAAAAACTAATTTGATAATTTTTTTGGTTTATAAATGGTTGTCTTAGTTTATAAATTTGAACGTTGGTTTTTAAACAGAAATTTAAAAATTTGACTAACAAATTTTTTTTTCAATTAATTTTATTTTCAAATATTTTTTTAATTAATTTTTTTTTTCAAATACATTTTTTTTTCAATTAATTTTTTTCCAATTAATTTTTTTTCAATTATTTTTTAAAATTAATTAATTTTCTAATTATAATATGTACGATCCCATTGTCATAAATAATAAAAAAATAAATATAAATATTTTAGATCTAAACAAACATATTTTTTAATTTATGTTTTTAAAATTTTCAAACATTTTGTTCAAAACAAACGCATTTATAGTTTATGTTTTTGTAAAAATAAACAAAACCAGTTATAAAATTTTTGTAAACATAAACCAAAAACGTAAACGTTACCAAACGAAACAACCATTTCGTTTTCAGTTTATATTTACAAAAATTTTAAAAACTGTCATAAAAAACTTGTTTGATAATTTTTTTGGTTTATAAATGGTTGTCTTAATTTATAAATTTAAGGAAAAAACTTAAACTTAAAAAATGAGTTTACGTTGATTTTTAAACAGAAATTTAAAATTTTGACTAATAATTAAATTCCTATACATAGATGTTTGAATAAATATTTTCATCAAACGCACTTATCTGTAATAAATTTGTTATTTATTGTCGTAAATGTAATAATCTCTATATTTATTTATGATTAATTTTTGTTTGAGAACCCTGGTTGTTTTTTATTTGAATTACATTATTTTATGTTGTTTATGAAATCACGTCATGAGTAAATTTCAAAGCTCTTACGGAGACTTTGAATGCCTTACCATATTTGTGGCTAAATGGTTAGCCCATTTTTATAATTTCTAGGTTGCTAATTTCCTTCTTTGTACCTTTTTCCCTTCCCTTTTTTTTTTTTCTAAAACTTCTAATTGATTTTGTTTTTTTTCTTCGTATATATAAGTTTACAGCAAAGGGAATTTCATCAGAAGAGAAGAGATGGATTGCCCTATACTAGCATGTGCAAAGTGCACATTGAATTGCTTATTGATTCATGGGAAGAATAAGGACCCATCAACTGTGGCTACCTCTTTTTTCAAAATCATGATTGGTGATAATTATTCAAAAGTTCTGGTATAGTTACATTTCTACAATTCCTTGTTAGTTATTTTAAAATACTGTTTCTCTAACACTTTTGGTCCTCCATCGTATGTGATTGGAAAAATCGTAAGTTTCATACTTCTCTTTAGTACCCTACTGTCACGGCCTTGGTTGTTTCCAAGCTATTCATGCGGCACTTAGACAATCTCAAGTCTCACTTGATGATGCTAAGTCAGCCTAACTCACAAACTTATAGGAAAGAGAAGTTAGAAGAACACAAGAGAGTTTGAGAGTATGCCTTGTATTTACTTGGGAGAAAGCTTTACAATTTTTTGATGCACATGGGTGGTTTGGGCAAATGAGGCCCTCTCCCTTTTATAGGCTACAAGGAATGTTCTAGATCTACAATGATGGAGAGGATTCTAGATCCTTCCTCCTACTACATCTTATAAACTATTCTAGAATCATTCTAGAATGTACATGTCTAGAAGGGTCTACAAATATCTACATGTACAATTCTCTATAAAACTCTATGAAGTTCTAGAAGCTTCCAGCATCTTGCATGGTTTTCATATTTTCTCAAGTCTTCCAGGAGCTTCCAGAATATTCCATTTAACCTTCCTTCCTTGAGACTTTCTTTTGGTAGGTAATTTTGTCTTGGTAATTTGACGGGACGTGACACTACGCTAGGGGCCTTTGGAGTCGGTTCAAGAAGTTTAGGGTTTGGTCCCAACACCAATACACCACCATTCCCAAAATGTATGGTAACTGCATACTTCATAATCTAAAAAAATAGTACCATGTTTCCAAGGGTCTGATTAGGATGGGTGGTCTTTTGGGGTTTGGAAGTGTTGAGAATTGATGCTGCAATTTTATTTGTAAAATGTTTGAAGGTTATGTTTTGAGATTCGGTTTCTCTCAGAAATCTTCCCCTATGAGGAAGAAAATCCATATGATAGGAAGTGCCATATGACACTCCAAACAGTAGCAGTATACAGTGGTCACTCTTCCCCATTGGCCAATTGTGGACGGTCTGATTCCTCCACAATCTTGAGGGTCGTTGGTCAGGATCATGTGTTTCGTTGTTCTGTTGTGTTTCTGATTTGAAATGGATCTATGAAGGTAAAAAAAGTTTCTAAAAAAAAGAAGATAGAAATACTGTTTTTGGTTTCATTGTTCTGTTTGCATTTACGTCTCATAGCATAAATTATTTGATTTAGTTATTGTTTAATCTTATTTTTCGTTCTGTTGATTTTAAGATTGATTCCTAGTGCCGAGTGAAGTAGAGGGTTATGGTTTGCTATATTGTGGATGGTATAATAATGGATCTTCCTATTTAGGTTGGCATTTTTTTTGTTGTCCTTTCATTATGATTATCTACTTATCCTTGTTAATAGTGGACAACATGACATTGCAGAAATATTTGCACCTGAAACATTAAAATTTGGGGATTCAATTAACCTATAATGAAGGGGGAAAAAAATAGAAAAAAAGAAAAAAAAAAAAAGATCAAAAATTGCAATCTGCAAAAATTTTATTACTGGGAAGTGTTAGCTGAGTTAATTTGGAGTTTCTTTGAATTAATCATTAAATTTTCTTGGTCTTATGGTATATTTTTCTTGGTAGCAGTATCATATCACGTATGCACGCACTACAACAAAACTGGGTTTTTACGGTTTCACATCAACGACTTACAGTAAATGCAAGCCGTGGTTTCTCATTTTTACGACTTGCTTTTTTTACATGTCGTAAATAATTTTCCAACTACGATGCGCCTATTGCGTAGGTCGTGAATGCTAATAACAATAATTTTTTTACAGCTTGTAATATTAGTCATAAATAATATAACTTTCTATGGCGTGCATATGGCATGCCGTAAATGCATCAACTATACACGACACGCGTAAAGCAGCTGTTAAAAATATTGAACATTTCACGGTGCACAAAAAACCAGCCGTTAAAAATTGTACTTTTCACGACGCACAAAAACAGTCATTTAAAATATTATGCTTCCATGATTTGAGCCATTTGAGGCACAAAATTTTAAGTTACCTAACATTGTTGTTACTGTCGTGAAAGGGATGATCGAAAAAAAAAAATAGCGCCAAAATAAAAATTTTGAGCGCCAAACACCCCAAAAAAAAATTAAAAAAAGAAAGATAGAAACAATCAAAAGCGCCAATTTTTTCAGCCCCAACACCAATCTTAAAAAAATAAACTCAAAGGGTCTGTTTTGTAACGTTTACGTTTTCAGTTTATATTTATAAAAATTTTATAAACTGATTTTTTGTTTATTTTTAGAAAAACATAAATTACAAACGCGTTTGGTAATTGACAAAATGTTTAAAATTTTTTAAAAATATAAAAAAGAGTGAGAAATGGCAAGTGGTGGCGGAAGACGGTGGTGGAAAGTGGTGACGGTGGGTGGTGGGTGGTGGCGAATGGGTGGTGGTGGTGGGTGGGTGGGTGACGGTAGCAGGTGGTGGGTGGTGGCGAGTGGATGGTGGTGGTGGTGGTGGGTGGTAGGTGGCGGTGGCAGGTGGTTGGCGGATGGCGGGTGGTGGCGGGTG